ATAAATTTATTTTTAGTAATTATATATTTTTATAATTTATAGATTAGTACTAGTTAGAGATTAAAATATTATTTAAGATTACACTATTTATTAATTAATTTAGTATATTTTTAGTATTTATTATATTTTATAATTATTGTATTTTTATTATATATCTATTATATTTTCATTATAAACTTATTTTCAATGATTGTGTACGTTTGCTATAAATTTTCAATAATTATTGGAGATTAAACTATTGTTATTTATTAGAGATTAAACTATAAATTTAGTTGAAATTAGGAGTGTTCAATGATTGGTTCAATTCAATTGTAGGTTGTTTCATCAATCAAATCGATCTGGTCAAGTCCGTAGTTTGTCACTCGAAACCAATTGACCATTAGCGAAAACCCACCAACTCGGGTTGTATCGATTTGAGTATTTCCGGTTTAGTTTGTTTGTTCAAAAATTTTAAACTTAAAAAGTTAACTTTAAATTTCATAAATTACAATGATATTATTAAAAAATAAATTACAAAAATTAAATCTATCATATAAAATATTTTAGACTAACAAATATGAGAATTTTTCTACTTTCCCCTATTAAAAAATTAAATTTAAAATATAAAATATTAATATATAATTATTAAACTAAAGCCGATCTGAAATACTAAAAAAACTGACCAACTCGGGTTGAGTTTGATCGAATTATTTATTAAAAGAGTTCAAATATAAAACAATTATACTCTTATGTATTTCTATTGTTTAACTTTCGCTTAACAAAGTAGGGGTCTCCGTCACCATGCCTCTCCTTTCTCCATTAGCCCCACCTGCATTCTCTTTGACTTTCTCTCCCCTCCCCTTTCCACCACTCCCATTAAGCTATTACACCCAACTACCAAAAAATATTCATATAATTTCTCTCCTAATGTATATCATTTAAACCAATAGGAAAAATATCATGTTGCCCCACTCCTTAACGAATTCCTAAAATGCATCCCCCCAATCTATATCCACTCTCCCTCATTTAAAATATTCTTATTAATTAATAAATAGTTAAATATGGTTAATATTTAATCCCCCCATATTCAATGAGTATTAAATAGTGTTATTACCAAAAGTTAATAAATACGGTTAGTAAATTACCAAAAATTAATAAATATTATTATTAATTAACTCATTAACAACATTTTATAGAAATTGAAAATTCTTTAACTAATTTCTATAAAACCGAGAATTATATTTAACAATTATCAAAAAGTATAAAATTTTAGTTATTGTTATTATTATAATTTATAACCAAATAAAAATGGGGGAACAAAATATTATAATGTTAGAAAATGAAATTATTAATTAATTTATATTGAAAAATAAAAGATAAATTAGTGTACTTTTGTTAGTAAATTACCAAAAAAATATATTTAATAACAATTTAAAAAAAAAATTCAATAAATCCCCATAGTCACACAAATGTATAAAATTTTCATAAAACTACATTTTCGTAAAATAAAATTTTTGAAATTAAAAGATATAAAGTATTTGAAAGTTTATTTAAAATGTATTAAATAATTATTGAAAATTATTAGAATATATTGGAAATTTTAGGAAAGTTTATTTCATTTGATAGATTTTGGAAAACCATTGAAAAATTATGTAATTTTCATTGCAATAATGACTATGGGAAATGAAAAACTATAATTTGAACAAATAATTACACAAATTATTAAGATAAATTAGCATAATATTGGAAAAAGGAAATTATTGGTTAGTTTATATTAGAAATTATAAGATAAATTAGTATAATGTTGTAAGTAAACCATTTAAAAAGAAAATAAATTATTTAATAAAAATTTAAATAAATTTGAATAAATTTTCAAAATCACACAAGTATAATAAATTTTCCAAAATTTTCAAAAATTATATTTTTCAATATTAAAGACAATTTAGTGTACTTTTAGAAATTTACCATGTGGTTGATACTCAATATATTCTTTTGATCATTTCATCAAATTGAATATTGGGTTGACGGAGAGTGTGTTTTCAAAACTTGATCAAATTAGATGGTTAGACCAAAAATTGGGAATCAGACACCATTTCACCTCAAAACCACTTTTTGTCCAAAAACCGTTTATTTGGTTAGCGAATCGCTGACCTGGGTGATCGAATCGTCAACCCGGACAACAGTTTTTGGCCTTTTTTGCTTTTCTAATTTTTTTTTTGTCAGAGCGGGTCATCCTTTTGACAAACAGACCGTTCGACCCTAGAATGGTTCCCTATCCGGTCCAATTTTTAAAACCATGGACGAGGAGTGGGTGCTTTGCCTTGAGCTTGGCTTGGTGTGCGGCATGGCCTGGCCCATGGACCAGCCCGACCCACGGCACGGCATTGTGCGGCCCGAGACGCCTCGTGGGCCAACACGGCACGACTCGCATTTTGTGTGGGCCACATGCGGGTCGTGTCGTGCCGACCCAGCACAACCCAATTTACATCTCTAATTGAACCCGCCCAAAAATGGGGACATGGTAAAGAAATTCGAGGATTCTCCATCCTTAATGAGGAGTGGGGTGCCTTGCCCATAAACTCGCCCGACATTGAGGATTGGTTACCTTGGTCTAAACCCGCATGACACTGGGGACGGGGCGGGGATGGGGTAGAGTGTCCTGACAATGTGGCATGGAAAGGGATGGGGCGCCCTGCCCTAAACCCACCCCGTTGTCATTCCTATATAATTGTTAATTATTAGTTGAATTAATAAAATTGTTAGCTTTTATAACTATTTTTGCTTATTTTAAAATTAATTAAAATTTCATTTAAAAATAAAAAAAAACAAAAATTATTAATAAAACTAAATTTATTAAAAAACATTTGTTCATATTCAATTAACAATAATTATTTTTTATAAATCAACATTACATAAAAAATAAAATTATTAAATCTTTTAAATTTTCCCGTGCATTGCACAGGTCCCTGCTAGGTTTTTAATTAAAAGTGAAAAGTTATTTGGGAATGTTTTAACAAATGCTCTCTAAATTGATAGATATAAAGTAAAATAAGAGTACTTTTGAAAAACTAATGCATTTATCCAATGTTTTTCGTCCAAGACAATAACAAAAGGAGGCAATTGCAGGTTTTTTGAGGTTTTTGTAAAATGAAACTTTAACGGAGATTTTTATGATTGTCCTTTTATTAATGATATTTTATCAACGCTTTTGACTTATTGCTACTTATCAAGACCAGTACTTTGAAAATTATTTGTAGAAGGCCTCAGGTTGGGGCTACTGTAAATTCATTGTTGAATCCGATAATCTCTAATATTGTTATGGCTCTTTAGCAATTAACGCCAATGTCCAAATTGGAGAACCAGACATTTGCTCCATCAAACGCAGATCTCGAATACATCAACAGGCTGTGGGATATTACCTTCAAACATTGCTATCGCGAATCTAATACCTTTGATGATAAATTGACATCTCTTGCTCTAGGTTAGATTATAGACTAATGAGATGTAAGTGGGGTGGCTCGCCCTCGATTGTGTACTGTTTTAATGATAGCGAAACGGTGACCGAACCCTTTAGGCTCAACAACAACCAAACGGTTTTTGTCTCGTTAAAACAGGATGTTAAACACTTTTTCAGTTTGATATCCGATCTGGTTTTCAAAGCATCGGTTAAAACAAATTCAATTTGGTTCTCATCTATAAATCACTTTTCGATATTATTCGATGCTGTTCGATTTGAAGTAGTTCTTAAATTGAGGTTGCAGTCAGATAATCCTGTTAATTGGGCGGAGCTGAGGTGGAAGGATGAAGTCGTGCTTCAAGATCTAAAATCAAGAAGACAGTCAGAGGCCTAAGGAGTTATCCCCAGGTAGATACTCCGACGCTCAAATTAGTTGAGGAAGGTGGTCAGTCGGGCTGGGCAGTTAGAGAACGGTGCTGGTCTGAGCAGAGCAACGATATGGAAATCAAGAGTTGGATCCTTTACTTTGAACGTGAGATAATTTTTTATAGCCGAAGATCCATGTCCTAACCGGATGAGTCTTCTGGGGTTGTCGAGATTAGGTTAAACACCGAAGCCTTTGGAAAAGACCTAATCCCCAGAGGAGTCCTCATCTGTATGACGTTCTCCTGTCTGTGTCGTACTTATCCATTTGACGTGATGCCAATGTGGCTAAAGAGATAAGATGGACCGCGGAGGTAATACGGTGCTGATGTGACCGAGGAGATAAGATAGCCACATAGGCGACACGTGACATCCGGGGCCAGCTCAACCATAAACCCGAACAGCATCTTTGACCTTGAGGTGATGGGAGGGGTTTTTACTATGCAGTGCACCCCACACAACACGTCAGTGTTTGAAATAAAAAGGGGATTTTACTATTCAGTCCACCCCCAACAAATTTTAGCTCCGTGCATTGGAAATACCTCCCCCTAATAAGTTTGAGAGGTGTTCCCAATGCATCGAGGGGATGGGTGCGCATCTTGGGATAGGATGAATTTGCATGCCGTAGATCATAATGGATTGTGTGCAGTGCTAAATCGTTAGTTCATAAAAAGGGGAAATCTCTTAAATTACCCTTATGTTTTAGAAAATGGATTAAAACTTTTCGTACTGTTTGCAAAAGTCCTAGGTTCGGCGGATATGATCGATTTGTATGGGTGTTTTTTCTATGTTTCAGTTCAGAGGGATCGGTTGAAGTCCCGAAAACCCTCTGAACCACAACCCATATCAGGAAGGCCCTGATACGATGGCCATACATAACCATATTTTTAACCTTGCCTCAAAGTACTCCAAAGTGATATCATTGTTAAACATTAACGAAAAATAGCAAAATGTCAAATTTGCCCGCTATTATTCTTCAAATATTCAAAATAAAACTGAATGAATCGAAAGCGTGAAATGACCATTTTTGGTTAAAGTATATAGAGTATTCTCTCGAAATCAATCTTCTTTCTTCTTCCCCTTCTTCACGTTTTGAATTTTTGATTGGAATATACAAAGAGAGAAAGAGAGAGAAGAATAAGCTTCGGAGTTCTAAATAGTAGGAGATTGTTTATTGATATTGTTCCATGTCACTACTGAAATGATCCACTACAAGAAAAATAGTCTATCCCGGCGGTTTAGAGCCAGCGGGCTTACATAGACCGCCGCCTATATTCGTTTTAAAGGCTCACGCGGCGGTTTATAATATTACATTTGGCGGATTTTATAGCGAACCGGAATTAAACGCGGTGTGGAGAAACGCGCGGAGACAAAAAATTCTCTCCCAAGCGAAGTTCAAGTTTGAAGAGAATCTCAGTGTTGTGCGATTCAAGGTTTTTTTTCTTCTTGCAGAGGAATTTTGAAGAATACATAAGATTCTCTTACAAGCTTTTTTTTTTTTTTTTTTTTTGTCTTCACTAGCAAGATATATACGCGATTCAACACTGATTTCTGGGCAGAGAACCAGTTTTGTGCGAGAATCTCAGTGTTGTGCGATTCAAGCTTTTTTTTCTTCTTGCGGAGAAATTTTGAAGAAGACAGAAGATTCTCTTACAAGCTTTTTTGCTTCACGAGCAAGATATATATTGTAGAGGAGAATCAGTGTTGTGTGATTCAACACTGATTTCTGGGCAGCTTTGTTGATAAGGGGAAAGAGACCTGTTATGCGAGAATCTCAGTGTTCGTTGAGAAGGGGAAAGAAAATCAGTGTTCATTTGAGAAGAGGAAATTTCTGGGCAGCAAGCAACGACAACCTCTGTTCGTTCGAGCAAGAGAAGGTAACATTCTAACCCTTCTTTGAATAATTTTCTTCCTCTTCTGTCATTCTCTCCATCTTCCATCTGTAAACTGGAAAAATTCTCTCATGGCTGCCATCCAGTCCATCAAGGTGTTGGGGAAATGCCAGGTCTCTCCACCTTCAACTTCAATCGAGCAAAAGTCACCATAGGTAGTAATTTATTTTTAATAAAAATAGTCAATTTCTAGAAGACTTCAAACCCTATCCTTAGACAACAAAAACTAGAAAATAAATCTCAAATACCTATAAAATGCCAAAATCATGATTACAATTTTTTTTTTTTTAAATTGATTAAGAAATCAGAAAACTGATTCATGTGTTCCTTCTTCGCTTCCATATCTACATCATGTTTAAAGAAATCCAGTGATTTTTTATAATTTCTCTCAAATTCAAAAATATCAGCTTGCATCTTTCTGAATGCTGCAATCATATGGGCAGTTAATAAGGAGTCAGGTCAGTACCATCTGTACGAATTTTGTGAATTCAGCAAGTTTTGCCTTATGTGATTTGGTGAAGAATTGAACTGCAGTGAACATTTCTTCATTCCATATTCGCCACTTCAGACTTTTTGTATTCTCGAGCCGTGTATTCGAACATCTAGAAACCTTGAATGCTATGTTTTCCAATCTATGGGCACATTGGATGCTAAGCTTAATGGTGTGGACAATAAGGTTCATTAAAGTTTGACACTTGGAAGTCTTTTTATGCCTGTATCAAGGTCCTCAGTTGTTGATATTTTCTATATATTTTGTATGAAGGACCAAATTGAGGGCCTTGGATGTCCCTGGATTCATGATTGTTCTGTAGTGTCTTGTGGCTTTATTCTTACCCTTTGATACTTCAATAATATGCTAGTTGGGTCTTCTGTGCACAAAGGCACATGGAGGCCCCTTGTTATCCAATTTCATGAATAGTTGTTTATTACATCAAATTTATCTACTAATGGGATAAAAGAAAAGGGTGAAGTACCAAATAAGAAGAGATGGATAAGAAAATACTAACAGAATTCAATATCCTGTTTATTGCAAAATCATTGTACAAACTTTTATCAGAATAGTAAGTTATAGTACTATTAAATAGAACAAGCATGAAATTTAATGTGGACTTTACTTCTTAATAAAATTTATGTTTAATTGTAACTCTTATGTTTAATTCTTAATAAAATTTATATCATTCATCAAAAAAAATGTGGAGTTTACCAAATGGAGAAAAAAAACTGTATTACAAAATTAGAAGGGTAATCAATTATGAACTTATGGTATTATATGATATAGGCAACACTGTCCTCAAGAAACAGGACATTACTGGTAGTCTCATCACGTTTTTTTAGAAGATTAGATACTTATGCCTAAATAGTGAAAGAGGAAATGATGCAAAAGTTGGGATTCTCAACAGGTGATTCTGCCCAATTAATCCTGAAGGAAACACAGTAAGTTGAAATGAGAAATTTGCGGAGCCCATTTCAAACCTGCTTCTTTGTATCAAGTTCTCTGTATATCTAGCAGCACAACTCTCAACTGAGCTTCATTTATACATGTTAGTATGTTACTATGCTAGAATTATCTATATGTATGCTTTTAAAACCATGAAATTTTCCGTTTGCTCAGGCTTTATTCCCATTAATCTTCTTAGGATTGTGCAATTGGTTCTTTTTTTTCCTACATTAATCCCATGCTTCTATCTATCAAATATCATTCCAAGTCATGTGCTTTGCCTCTGGATTGAAAGTTCCAGCTTCCCAATTATGGCATCCAATTTTCATAATTTTCTTGTTATCTTCTCTCACCTTGGTCTACCCATCCACTTTTAGCTATAGGAATGTTGGTTGGAATTATTAAGCATCAAAGACATGGATGATTGGATTCTCGGGCATTTTAACCAACTATATGCTGTACAAAAGGCGTCTAAGTGGCTTCCCTAGAGATGCACTAAAAAATTACTCACATGTGATCATCATCATTCAAGTCAAGACTTGTCCCAGATACATGGGATTTGCCATGTGGATCTTGATTAATTACAGCATGACGGCTAAAGCCATGTCCCAATGTGAGGACTTATGGACTTCTTCATGCTTAATAGCCTTGTAATTGTCCCTAAAGTAGTTTTTCTAGTTATTTAATTTTCTCAATGGAGACATTGTAGGAGAAAATTTGAAAATGGAAGTTCATGGTTAATGGCTCAAGAAATAACATAAAAGTGCCACTTAGGGGCCCCGCTTATATTCATCTCCAGAAGGTTTGTTTTTCTTTCTTCCCTTCCCAATGTAAAATTAAGATTGTTGAAACTTTGTGGTTGGTGGTGGTTAGATTTACTAATTATTTTCTTTTTAGTAGGTCAGGTGGATATCAGGTGAAGGTCTGTCAACCTGGTTTTGTCGTGTCAGCATGCCTGAACTTTGATGTATTATGAAACTGCTATTGCCAAAATTACTGAAGATAACTCCTTTAAAAACAAAAATAAGTAAACCCTTGTAACCTAACATGAATTATTTGCAAGCTTAAAAGTTTTCTCAATCAGTGTTTTAAAACCCATTAACCACTTTTCCCTCCAGGTCAATAGGTCAATAGTTCAAACATCCAAGTCAGCATGCTAACCAGTGATGCCATCATTACAATAAAAATCAAAATAGAAAAAAAACTGATGACCTTCTGAATAGGTCAGATGGGTCAACAGTTCAACCATTTCGGTCAATAGGTGATTGGCCAAGTCTTTTTTTTTTTTTTTTCTTCAATATGATGGGTTAGAGGTTGTCCTGAACTGGGACTGTGACTGGATTTCCAAATCACCATCCAATTAATGGGTAATTGACAGGTGTAAGTGGTTTAAGTGGCAAATAATGTTTGTGTCTAGGGTGAACCAGTGTATTAAAAATAAATCAAAAAATGAAACCACTTCTGTCCAAGTGGTTTAAGTGGCAAAGACCTGCAGCTCCTTTCCCCTTTTTATCAAAAGTAAGAAAGTCTGATGAAGCAGTTTGGATGCAAGAGAATACCTTATTGTGGGGGTATCCAATTAGGGAGATCCATTAGATACTTCTAGTTACTCAGGAGCATGTACAGGTATCATTTTATTCTATTATTACACAAAGTCTCTCTCTCTCTCTCTCTCTCTCTCTCTCTCTTCCGTGTGTGTGTGAACAGAGGAGAATGGCAGAATAGGATTCATGTTGCTGACAGAATTTGGTTGTCAGAAGGCTTTGTTGAGTGCACACAGACACACATATATATATACATGCTGATACTAGTTAAAAAGCATCTTTTCCCTTCAAAAAATGTATAGGTGATCATTATCTCTCAAAGCACGCAAGTCTTCTACTTCCGAGCCATCATCCATGAGAACTTTAGTCCCCCTTTTGTCAAATTTCTTCTCTTCATCCAAAAACATTTGAGAAAAATGAAAGCCCTTTTACTTAGCAACCATGGTTTTGTTTCTTTTCTCCATTTGACCATTTCACTAACTCATTGACCTTACATTATCACATCTTTAGAATATGCAACTGATGGGAAGTTGGGAACCATAATGTTTATAACTAAACATAATTCAGCTAATCATTCTAATTTCTAATGATCAGATTCAAATATTTGAATGTTATTTTCCTCAATGTTTTAAAACCTGGACCAATAGCATGGTGGTAGCACAGCAGTAGCATATATAGTAGCAATGGTGACAGTTACATGGGAGAGATCCTGGGTAGGGGTGCACACAAAGTTCACTGACCTTATTGTGGAGAGCCTGGGTCAACAATGGTTTGAAAACACAGGTTTTCCTTTGATAATCATAGCAGTGTTTAGCGCTACTAGTCACTTTATATGTCAATCTAAATCTGATTGTCTGTTGTCGAAATTCATATACGTCTTTTGGTTATTGTTTTTCTTATGATATGCCTTTCATTTTTCCTAAGGACTCATAATTTAACAACAGATTAGACTCTTGATAGAGTGGAATGAGAAAGAAGTATTTAATATTTATGTAGCTAGCACCATATACTTAGGATATGGCTTTGTTGAGTTGAAGCTTATTATTTCCTCCTATAAGCACATTAGTGACTAGTTCTATTAGTCACTACACTAGATAAACTGATCTCATTCTTGAATTTTCTTTCTGTATTAATAATCAAGTGTTTAAATCCTAATTTTCTGCTGAGGAAATTTTTATGTTAAAATTTGGAGTTATATGATAAACTTAGGGGAGGTACCAAGCTTGTAATACCTGCCAATCTCAGCAGCTCTTCCATTGAGTCAGGCATATGAATGAGTTTTCCCAGCTTACTAGTTCCTTCCTTGTTAGCTTCATCTGGATGAAAACCATATACTATCGACCTCATTGGTAAGCTACTTGAACATGGGGGAGAAAGTGTTGCTGTCCCTGCAAAAGAGTAGATGGAATTTGTAAATAATCTTTAGCTTTTATTTGCAGATGAAAAGTTCACTCAGGAAAATTGAGAACCACTATTATATAGTCAGTGGCATTTCTGTCATTGTCAAATATGGGTACACATTGTTCAAAAAAATAAAGGCTTAAGCAAACTTAGCAAGGCAAACATCCATCCATTTAATTGTCAAAAAAATTGTATGCTATGAGATATACTTCTGAAATAATTTTGTTTCCACCATTATCCAATAGAAAAAAGTAGGAACCTTAATAAGTTGATATACATACAAGCTGCAAGCAAATCTGTAGAAAATGTAACTGAAAATGATTTTTTTGATAAATCAAGATCCATTCAACTAACCACAATGTCCTGCATAGAAAAATTTTGAAATGGAGTTCCTGTATTCCTTACTCTTCTCTTTTCTGTCGTTTAGGCCAATTAGTTTAGTATCTTTATTGCACTCTTGAAGAAGTGATTTTTCACAAGTTGAAGAGGCTAGAAGGGCTAGGAGTAAACCAAAAAGGACATAGGTAGAAGTAGTAAATGGAATGATTTGCAAGCAGAGCTAGGAGATTGCTGTGAAAACAGCCTGTGGTTCTAGTGTCTTTTCTAAATGGAATGATTTGCAAAACTTATTTTCTCTATCATTTTTGAAAATGCAAAATATGGAACCTTGGTTTTGCAAAATATGCAAAATGAGGGGGATTTTCAGGCAGCATGGGCATATCTTGATTTGATGCCCAAAAGTAGCAATGAGCTCACCCTTGATCCTAAATTGGCCTTGCAGAGGAGTGAGCAAATGCTTTTGCAGGCCATGCTTCTTCAAAGTGAAGGGAAGGTTGATCAGGTACCACAGGAAATAGAAAAGGCCAGGCCATGCTTTTGAAGGCCTTGAAGAGATTTCTATGAATCTTTGGTCATTTGTGCGCCCTTGTATGCTTTCTCGTTTCTGATAGTGTTGACAATAAATTGAAGGCAAAGGCATGCTTGAAACTCTCAGCTTGGTTAAGAGGGAATTATTCAGCTATGGATTTGGAAAATGTTGTTCTAAATATCCATGCAGATTTCAATACATCTGATGCTTCTTCTCCAGGCAGGGGTGGGTAGGGCTGTTCACAGGTCGGGTTGGGTTGGTTTACTGGGTTTTTTCCAACCGACCCGACCTGGTCGGGTTACCTGAGATGGAAACCGAAACCGACCCAGTCTAAGCAAAACCGACCTTGTCGGTTTGAGTCAGGTTGGGTCGGTTTGGGTTGGTTTGGGTCGGTTTCGCCTCTAAGTTCATCCATGCCCCCCATGGCCCATGTGCCTGTGTGGTGCAAGTTTGGGTTGCCTATCCAAGTCGGAAGAAGTCAAAGTGAGGACCATAGAAAGACAGTTTTAAATATAAAATAAATTTGAATTAAAATCGAAATATATATTTAAGTAGATTAGGTTTTTCATACAAAACTGAAAACTGAAGTTTTTAAGATATTTTCTGGAAATATATTTAAAACTGAAATATGTATTTTAGAAATATATATATATATATATAAACAAAAATATACATACAAATATATTGGAATATATATTTTCTGGAAATATATATCTCATATTTCAGAATATATATTTTTTAGATATAGATTTTTTCAGATATTTCAGTTTTTTATGTAAAACTGAAATATCTTTATTTAACAGTTTTAAATATAAAATATATTTTAATTAAAACCGAAATATATATTTAAATAGATTAGGTTCTTCACTTCTTCATACAAAACTGACATTTTTTGTGCAAATATATCATCAWTAACCGGATTTTTTTTCAAAGCTTAAACTTAAACAAAACACAAATAAAATATATCAACCTGTAACATGCATTAAATTAAAAAAATTAAATAAAAAAAATACTAACCTTTGAATGACTGAAGTTGAGACTTTGAGAATGAGACTTGAGCTCGAGTTGAGAGAATGAGAACTTTGAGAAGATGGGAGTTGGGAGAGCCAAGTTCAAACTTCAAGTGATGTTTTGAAGTTGAGACTTGAGAACTTGAAATTTTAAATTTTTGATTCTTGAGTTGAGTCAAATTGTAATATTGTATTAGAGAATAGAGATTGTGCTTGACTGCTTGAGTTGAGGGGCTAAGGGGGGCGGACCAAGTTAGAATTAGAATAGAAGACAGAAATTATCAAGAAATTAGAAAGTCAAACTGATTCATAGAAAGAAGGCTGAAATTTGTATATTTCAAGAAACTTTCTAAGTTCTAATCTAAGTAAAAAAAGGACACCTATTTCTAATTGTAATTGCCTAATTGGTTGCCTATTTGGTGTAAAAGACTATAGAAAGTAGAAACTAGGATAGAGACAAGTAGACAACTTAGTTAAGTAGGAACTAGAAGACTAGGTTAGGTTGTAATTAGGAATTAGGATAGAGGCAACTTAGTTAAGTAGGAACTAAGTCGGTTCGGTTCGGGTCGGTTTCGGTTTTCACACAAGAAAACCGAAACCAAACCGAACCATTGGTTTATAAATTTGTACAACCCGAAACCAACCGGTGCTGATGAAAACCCGGCCGACTCGGGTTGGGTCGGTCCGGGTTGGTTGGTTTGGTCGGGTTGGGCCTTCTTATGAACAGCCCTAGGGGTGGGCCCCTCTTTTGTAAAGGAAACTTGATCTGCAATCCTGGTATCAGTTTGATTATTGAGGAGATTGTGGGGACAGCATCAAAACTATCTTCTCTTCTTTGTCCTAACATGGGTAAGGCATGGCTTTCTTATGCCTCTTGGTGTTACAGTCAGGCTAGAAACTCCCTTTCCAAACCACAAGATGCTACTCTTCAGTTGTGCTCTTTTTCTCCTGTTCTTTTTCTAGAAATTCTACCTAATAGGTTCCAATTAATTAAAGAAGAGGTATTTACAGTGGAAAGTACTATCATAGAACTTCTGGAGAAAAGGGAAGATGCAAACAAAGAAGGGGGAGAGTGGATTATATGTCCCAATTCTGGAGAGGATTTAAGAAATGAGAACTAGGGGTGGCAACGAGCCGAGCTTTTCACGAG